GGCCCTCCCGCCGGGGGGCCCCCCCCAGCCAATAGCGTGAGGGACGGGGGCGGGGCCATGCCGGCTCCTGATTGGGTGTTGACGGGGTAACGTTGTCTCGTTCTCTCCCTTCTCCTCCCTTCTTTCGCTGGCCGCGCTCGCGTGCGAAGCCCCGCCCACCTCGCCCCACACTTCCCCGCTCTAGCTCTTCGGCTTGTCTCGATGAAGTAGGCGAAGGGGGTGGGTCTGAGGGAAAGATGCTGCGCCGGACGCGCGCGCGCGTGGGCGGGGCGAGACGACCGCGCGTGCGCGGGCTCCGAGCGCCACGAGCTCTCCTTTCTAATGCAATCTCTTCGGGAGGCTCGCTCCGCCCACCTCCCGGTCCTGCGCGTGCGCTCCGGCTTCGCTCCCCTGCCCAAGTCTGGGGTTGCGGCCGTAGACGTCCGCCTCTTTGCTGTCGCTCCGCCTGGGAGCTTCACGTGCGCCGGGACTGCCGCGGAGGCGGGCCCGCTTCCCGGCTTCTGGCAGAGGGGAGCCGGGACGGCTGGTGGGGGGGCGTGTCTTCCCCCCAGGGCGTCATCGAGCTCGAGCTCGCCGGGAAGTCGGGAGCTTGGCGGGGCAACCAGGCAGCGCCCAGAAGTTTCGGCGACGTGTGGAGCCTTATGGCCTGAGGGAAGGCACGGGGCTCTTTGGCATCAGCCCTCTCCATGCTGCCCGCCCGAGCACCTCCGCGGGGTTTTGGCCAAGGCTGCGCCAGTAGAATTTTCTTAAAAGGTCCCTTTACTCCTTGAGTCCTCTCTGCGGCGTAGGAAGGTGGATAGGATGAGGGCCTTCTATTCCCTTTCAGCTTTATTTATGGCTTCTATTTTACATGCCTGTACATACTTTAGTCTCCCAAAGCGTTAAAATTCTGGCTTAGGTGTCGCCTCCCGCACTGCCAAGGTGGGCGTGCTCTCACCTGCGCCGTCTATGTCTATCGTCTTTGTGAGCCTCTACCCCCAAGAACTCCCGGGTTTGAGGAACGAAGGAAGGTGTATTAGGGGAGTGATCGGCCTCATGTATTTTTTAGGTGCGGGTGGATGGAGGAGAGCCTGCGCAGGTAGTGTGGGCTTAGTGGTGTGAGCTAAGGATTGCTTATTAGGGCAACAGCAAGCGGCCCGTTTTGGCTTTAAGTGAAGAGGAACAAAGTCTGGAAAATTAGGTCATATGGAGGTTTGGACCTTATGCGATCGGTATTGGAGGAGCCAGTGAAGATGATGTAGCAAGTGAGGCTCGAAGCAATCGGGGCGCTGTGGCCCACAAGTCTCTGTACCAGCTCCTCAGCTCTGCCTTGTAATGATGGAGCAGCCATAGGCAATACTAAAATGAATTGAGTATGGCTGTGTTCCAAGAAGACTTTATGGACACTTAAAATTTGTACCCCCCCCCATGTTTTTTGCCATTAGAGCGTGTACACTCGCAGGGGAGACAGACAGTGAGGGGGGTGAGAAATCACCTTCCCCTAGTCATCTGCTGGTCCCTGGACACTGAACATTTTTTTTTTTTTGGAGAGGTTTTTGCTATATAGGGCGTGTGTGCTCACCAGAAAGACAGACAGACAGACAGAAAGCGAGAAATCACCCCTAGGGGGATGGCTATGCGGCAATCTCATTTCCTCCATTCTCCTCTCGGCATCTTGGGAACGCACGCACACGTGTGTGGCATGAGTTTAAGCCACCGGGGCCAGGACTCAAACTGGTCGGTACCTGGGAGTCCAGCGACATAACCGTTAGCCAACTGCTGGTCCCTGGACACTGAACTTTTAACATAATTAATTTCAGTTGTCATGAAGTATTATTTTGGCTTGTTCCATTGTTTAAAAATGTAAAAATCACTTTTTAGCTTTGGAGAGGTGTGAAAACAGCCTGTGGTCATAGCAGATCCTGGGTTAGAGGTATTTTCTTGAGTTAGAGTGACCAGGACTTAGTTATAAATAAGTAGGTGACTATGATCTATCCTCTCATATAGAATGAACACTTTGGGAGTGAAAGAAGACACTATTTTGGTTTTTAAAATTATTTAATTTATTATTTTTAATTTGACCGGGTGGGGGGGCAGGAATAATTGCTTTAGGATTTTAAAAGTACCTATAAGGGAAATGGGAAGATTAGGGAGAAACTGGTTTTGGGAGAAAGATGGCGGTAACAGTCCTTACCAATTATCATGTTCTATTGGGACGATAATTACAGGCTGTAATAAAGTACCCCAGAAACTTTGTAGCAGGCCATGAATTGCTATCTTAAACTTCAGGCAGGCCCTGAACTTATAGTTAGAGAACAGAACTGGGACACTAGCTATCTGTAAGGCAGTAACCGACAAGGGGTATGGGACTATCATGACTGCTTAGTGTTTATCTGGCTTTTGGCAGTTCTTAGGTAGGGCCGTGCTGTGGACTGCTGGATATTTAGTTTCTCTGGTCCCTTCTTATTAAATGTAGCTCCCCAGGTATTGTGATACCAAGAAGTACCCCCCTTTCCCTTCTACCTCACAGGCTCCCTAGCAGGATGAACTGGTTGAGCTACTGGCTTGGACCAAGCAGATTTACTAGGGAGCTGGATTATGTGAGTGTAGATTTCCTTTCCTAATTGGATTGGAGGGAAGAGAGGAATTGAAGGATTCAGAGTTCTGTTGTCAAGGAGGTAGGCTGGGGAGTGTTGGATAGGTAACAAACATACACCATGGGAAGTGAAAAGTTTTGTTTTATACCCTTAATAAAATAAACGTCTTGACTGCTTCACCCTTGAGCCCCTGCCCTGTCCCCTATTTTTGAGTTCTGTATATGAAATTTTCCCTTAAGTGAGACAACTATTTTGTTGATCCCAGGAGATATTTGGAGTTGTTTGGTATCAGCTTTTATGTAATCATGTAAAGATTGGTACTGGAAATAGGATACTGCTATCATGAATAGCTACACTATGAGGCCTTGACATACAGAAATGCTAAAGATATTCATGGTTGTCAGCGTCTAGCTGACGTATGCATCTCCCAGTGAACCTAGCTCAGAAATTGGTTCCATGATATTCAATAATTATTTCATAAGTAAGAATTTATAATTCCTCTTGTAGGGGAAAACTTTTCTTTCCCATATCAGATGTCTTTTGAAGATGTTAGGAGTACCACTAACATAATACTTAATAACTCTTTCAGGGATTCCAGCAAGTTTCCTACTGTAGAAGTTTGGAAGGGTGCACAGCCCACTTCTTCCTCCCCACTTGCTTTTGGGAACTAGGCCCACAGGTAGCATGGAAGTTAAAGCAATGGGATGCCACATGGTCAACTGAGCTGTTCCAGTCCCAGACTCAGCGACTTAAAAATCATGTCAGGCACGTGTGCGTGCATGCCCAAAATCCCAAGAGGAGAATGGAGGAGAAGGGATGGCAATGTGTCCTTCTGCCCCGGGAAGGAGGATTTCTCATTCACCCCGTGTAATCACATGTACCCTGTAGCAAACTTTAAGAAGCAAAGTGCCAGGGGCAGGAACCAGCAGTTAGTGTAATGACTATGTCACTGGACTCCCATGTAGTCGACCACGGTTCATGTCCCCGGCCCAGTGGCTTAGAACTCATGCCAGGCGCGTGTGCATGCGTGCCCAAGATCCCGAGAGGAGAATGGAGGAGAAGAGATTGCGGCGTGACCCTCCCCCCTGGGGGATGATTTCTCGCTTTCTGTCTCTATGTCTGTCTCTGTCTGTCTGGAGAGCGCACGTGCCTTATAGCAAAAACCTCTCCAAAAACAAAACAAAACAAATAAACCAAAGTGCCAGGGGCCAGCAAATGATGTAGTGGTCACATTGCTACCTGGGACTCCTACATGGCCAACCGTGGTTGAGTCTTGCACCTGGTGGGGTGAAATTCACATTTGGTGCATGTGCGTGCATGCCCAAGATCCTAGGAGGAGAGTGGAGGAGAAGGGATTGTGGTGGGGCCATCCCTGGGGATGTGGGGTGGGGTGATTTCTCACTTCCTTCTCACTATCCTTTCCCTGACAAGCACACACACCGTAAGGCAAAAAACCTCTTTTTAAAAAAAGCTTTCTTCTTACCTTCTCAGCACAAGTCTTACAGGAGTCTGTCCCTGCCAAAGAAGGCTTGGGGTAAGCCCTGGGGGAAGGGAAGTTTCAGATTTGGAAGCTAATTTACTTCCAGGGAATGATAAAACCTATTGTTTGAACTTTCAATTCAAAAGAGAAGAGAGTTCATGCTGGACATTAATAATTCTGAATTTGGGGCTGGCTCCCTGGCCTGAGGCAGCCAGATCCCACACAGCTGATCCCTGCAGTTCAGGTCCCAGACTGGCTGCTTGAGAAACACCCCAGGGCATGTATATGTATGCCCAAAATCCTGAAAGGAGGTAGACAGAGGAGAAGGGACTGCAACAAGACCATCACCCATGGCAGGGGCGGGAGGTGCTTTCACTCTTTCTTTCTCCCTTTCCTCTCTGGCAAGTGCATGCACCCTTTGACAAAATTTTTTTTAAATTAACTTTAACAAAAAGTTGGTACTGATTACTTTGGGCTGTAATTTAGAAGAATAAATAATCTATGGACTTTAAATTTCTCCCTGGAAAATTCATATTGGAGAGGGTTAAATCAAATTGTAGATATCTTCTTTTTGCTTCTTAGTTATTAAAGTATTTGATCGTCTTTCAGAACTTCTCTGATAATATTGGATAAGTGAGAGGGACATAATTTAAGATGACAGTGGCGTAGGTGAATTATAGACTTGGGTACAGAAGAGTATTAGAAAAGAATTAATTGATGAATTGATCTGACCCATTCAGGGCATTTTTTAGGAAAAA